CGATAACTTCGTATAATGTATGCTATACAAGTTATTACGGAGAGAGAGAGAGAGAGCGAAATCATTTTATTAATCGAACTCTACTCCCCCAGCTAATCTCTTAGAAAAATTTGTGCAAATAGTAATAACAATTGCCTTGCAGAGATAGTATTCAAAAAGATTATATTCAAATTATCTAGCATTTTAGATTTTAATCAACCACGAGTTGATCTTCAGTTTTTCGCGAAGGTTGAGTTCTGTGAATTACCGTCTTAGATATCAATTAGCTTTATCCGCTTTTTTTTTTATCGTGATGCGAAGATACCTCGGCAGGTCTATAATCGCATTCGACGCTACATAAAAATAATTGTTGACGCACTTACACCGACGTACACCGATTTACCACGTGCAAGCGTGAGTGGCGGTAAACGAAGCGCGTCGAGCGGATAGCGCATAATGTCCGATAATTTCGCGTTGTTTCAGTTAATTAAATTTCATTTTATCCTCCCTCCCCTCTAAGCGGTTTATGCGCGGCGGCTCATCCCCCACCGGTTTGACAGTTGACCACCGGCGCGATAGCGAGCGCGCCGTCGAGCCGGCCAATTTCATCGCCGCCGGCACGTAAAATTAGAATACCCGCCCGAGGAAAACCGCTACCAGCCGCACCGAAACTTCAAAGACACTCGCGAAATCCTCGAGTAACTGCCTTAAGACGCTGCGACTTTCAAAGTGGGATCCGTCCGCGGCAGCCTGTGCTTTTGTTCACGAGTTATCAAAGGCTAATACATCCGAAAATATCAAATTATTATATTCGCAGAATAAACTCGTATATATTGGCCGTAAAGTTACAAAGCAATTTGTATCGAAATTAGCATTAAATTAGGACAAATATTTTTGTTTTCCGAGTTTCTTTTCTCCGAGCAAACTTTTTTTTTAATTTCTGAAAGATACATCAATTAAAAAATAATTCTTGAGTGATTTTTTTCTTCTAGTTTTACATAAATTATGCTTACACGTATAATATAGACAGATAAGAAAAATTTACTTAGTGATAAAATTTATTTAGTGATTAAATTTAGCGTTGAATCGCTCAAGTTCCCAAAAGTATTTTTATTTTATTAATCAGATGGAACAAAAATGAGAGTGGCGATATAGCGCGCGTGGTACCAAGTCACCCGTTGTCGTGGCCAATTACGTAGGGCCCAAATATTTTCGCTCCGATTTCGTCCGGCGTGAAATGGAGCATCGCGAAGGGGGTGGGGAAGTTGGAGGACGGGAAGGGTCACGGTCGAGGATAAGGGTCTTTGCGCCTCTGGCGCAGTCGACACCTCCACACGTGCTCACCATGCGTGGCTAGTTAGAGAGTTACGAGAGGCGCCGTATATCGGTGGTTATATACTTGTTAGCCCTTAACTGGTCTCCTCCCCGCCTCTTCCTACCCGCCTTTCGGGTTTTGCGGTGCCCCGATAGTTCATTTGTTTCGTCCGCGAGCTTCCGGTCTTAAAAACGCCGACGATAACTTCCCCTCTTCGGTTTGTCAAACGAAACGATCTTATTAAAGATCGTCAATTCCGTTGAGAAAAACATGGAAAAATGGAACGACATAAATAAAAAACAGTATTATTTATTAAAAACGTAAAGAATTAATAGCGATTAATTCATCGTTTTATTTATAACTTAAACAAAATTCTCAAAATTAATAATAAAAATAGAAAGCAGTTGATAGCGGCACGTGTTCGGTTACATACGCGGCGCTTCACAAGGCGCACCGAAGAGAAGTTCTCTTGCTCGTCAAGGACAAGTAGCCGGTCTTCATAAGTAGCCATTCGCACTTGTCGATAATAGCCCTTAAGGAGTGCCTCTCGAACATCACGCCTGCCAGGTCGCTCCTCGGGCCACATATAACAAGGGATTACGGATCACGTTTGGCTCATCGGAGTTTTCACACGAGTCGAGAGCTTTGGGAAATCATTAATATCTCTTGTAGCGAGTGCGCCGCGTGCATCTGCTTTAATGGAATAGCGCGAGAGTACGTTTTCGCCTCACTGTGCTACCACTTAGCGGTCGCTTCCGCCCGACGTAAAAAGATTTTGTTACTTTTCGGCGTTTTTTTACGTTGGTGCGTCGAAGATTTATCGTGTTTAAATCAAGTCGCGCCTCTCTCGCTGAATTAACACATTAAATATAACCGTAGCGGTAAAGTGTCGAGAAAATTACTCTGCAGTTGGACCGCTTTGATGTTTGGAAAGATCACCGATACTTATATTTCTTATTCTTAAACTAATGATTTTAGGAGAAAACCTGCACTGCTGATTATTCAAAACACATATAAATGTGTTCTTTATTAATCTATTCAAATAAATTGATAGAGAATTGAAACTCTCTTTTCTGAAGCATTATCGGTAAAAAAATAAATATTTAAATATATTAATAGAAAACTTTTCCACATAAAAGAAATAGCAATGATACTTGTGACAAAAATAAACGACATAAAATACGAATATAAAAATTTTGGCAGGAGAAAGCGTTGAAATGCAGCCGAAGGAGTCGAAGGCAAGTGAGATACGATGAGAGGTTCGATCCACGATACATATTAATCGTCCATCGAGCAATTACCCGGCACTAACGACCGACCCGATGGACGTGTTTGCGCAAACGCGTACATAAATCAAGCATAACCAGCACAGTCGCAACAAGCTGTCGCTGTTGTTTCTCGAATTTCATGGCCCGTCTCGGCGGCCATTTCGCAAATTGCGGCGAGACGTCGCAATTAGCGCGTAAGAGGACTTAATGCGTTCGAAGAGACTTGACGAACGGCACTTTCCTGATTTCGCGCGCAGCGAACTGCATTCGGGATCTCGCGGCCGTCCGTGCGCTCGCGCGTCTCGAGACAGCATCCGCCATCCCTTTCCGGGACTTCAAAGAATGCCTCTTGTTCTCTTATCGGTACACGATATTCTCGTGTACGCGGCTCGTAAAACGCATCCCCCCCGGTTCGCCCCGTCGACTATGTTTAGCCTGAAACGTTTTCGAGATGAATGTTCGCTGCGTGTCTTCGTGGCCTCGTTCGTATTCTTCCTTTTTTTTCGCGTCACCAGCACTCGTGAGCTATTCTTCGTCGAAGTTTTTCTCTCTCTCTTTCTACCACCATACTCTCGCGATGCGATAAACAAAATTCCATTAATTGACAGTAACGTGGAATGTTGAATACGGAATATGTCTAGTAGCAACATGATTCATAATTGTGAAGCGAGGTGAAAATAGATATCGCACCCATGTGACTAATAAATTCCGACAATTGTAATAGCAGAGGCAGAGATCACAGAGTTGTTGAAAATTTGCGCGAGTTCGATGATCGAAGCAGGAAATGATTTTTTCAAGTTTCAAACGTCAAAAACGTAATGAGTAATTACTGCCTCTCGACATTTCTCACGATAATGCCAAAAGCAACGGGTCTCAATTAAGCTAAACGTTAATTTAAAATCGTTACGCCTTCTGCTAATTCCGCCTCGTCGTCAGACAGAAACGGGAAGGTAGAGAAAGGGCCGGCAAAAGGATCCGCATAAACGCGAGTAGTTACGCCGTCGTTTAACGACGGGAAGTGTTGCTCGAGAGAAACATGTGTTTCGGCGTTTCGCGTGCATTCATAATGATTACACTGGCGTTCGACAAGTCCCTCGTTATTTCCTTTTTTAATTATAGACCAGCCGTGCTCGAACATGCCCGGGCGATGCTATTTTCCCTTGTCCCTTCGTCCCGCTTTCTTTCCTTAACTCTACATCTCGCAACGATTTGCCGATCTTTATTTGCGTTCGCGGTAATTAAGCGGCATTGTTTTGTAAGCTTCGCAAATGACGAAATTTATTAACGAAATTTATTAACAATTTTAATTTTTTTCCTATTCAAAGAATAATGGAAAAATCTCTTTTTACAATTGCCTTGAGAATTTTTATTTATTTTGTATAAAATAATATTATTATGGTGTAATGTCATAAGTAAAAGTAAATGATTAAGGCCTCAGGTTAAGTAAGAGCTTGCATAAACAAAAAATAAATATGACATAAACACGTTTTGAATCTGGCAATCTTGCGAAATGCTAAATAGCTGGCCGCGAACGACACGAATCGATTATACACATATAAATTGAAACACACGAACAGTCAGTGCGAATCGTTATTTTATCAGCTGCTTATCTCGTCCCACGGCAATAAGTTTCGATATCTTATATTTCGTCAGGCCGCGCGACAGAGAAAATTAGCTCCGATAACGGCGATATAAATATATGGTTAACCAATGCACGGACAAGAATCGAGGCAATAGCATCATAATCGCCGATATCTTAATGATCGCGCGATGACAAAAAATTATGCGGTCGGAGACGAACGCGCGAGGCGAAGGTGATGCGAGCGAGAAGTTGCTGTGAAGAACAAAAAAAAAGAGGGAAACGGGAGAGAAAGAGACGGCGCGCAGCTCTCGGGAGGAGGCTTCTGGTTTTCTCGCGGGCCGACCGACGCTCGTTTCGCAATTTAAATTCTGCCAGACACCCTTAACCGTGGACCGGGCACGAAATAAAAAGAAAGCGGAGCACGGGGAACGAACGAGGAGAGCAGCGAATGGCGAAAAGAGAGCAATCGCGCGCGCGGCAGCGCAGCCAGCAGCGGCGCTGCGACAGGAGCGTTTGTTTTTTGAAGTCTGTATTGCTTACAAATGTCCCGTTGTAAAAAGCGAACAGCACGGTCCTAATGAGTCTGGTTGTTAAAAGACCTCTCCCCCTTTTTTTACGCCTCGTGCGCTTCTTCCTTCCCTCGCCCCCTCGTCACCCGCGAAGGATCCATTAAAGTGGCGGACATTGTAGATCGCGATCTTACTCGCGTTCGTACGACTTTAAACGACTTCTAGTAATATGTAATAATAACACAAAAATTACTTACGTGCGTTATCTCATACGATGACACGGGCGCCAATTGAGCGAAAGTATCACGCATACTATATTAAGTTTTGATACTTAAGATGAATTATTATTAATTATTAGAATAGATTCGAATGCTATTGTTAAAAATATATCTGTATTGATTAGCTAATTAATAAGAATGCGGTTCGATGGAATTTCTTAACGCAAGGTTACGAAAATGAGCGATTTAAAGCGGAATTTACGTGAGACTGGCGGAGAGATTTGGTGCATCGGATTTCAGCTGATCTCGGACATCTCGAGTCACATATTCGATAGCGTTGGCGCTTGTAAATGATCCTAGGGTACACTTAAACGCCCATTTCCTCAGAAATCCGCCCAAATCGCTTAGGCGCAGCAAAGCGTTCCAATTAAGAGGTATGCGTCTCGCTTCTGGCATCTCAGCAACGAGAGGATATATTTTTTCCACCGACCCTTCCCTCACCTCTCCCCGGCATCCTCCCGCACTGCTCGCATCAGTCTCGCGCGTAGTAGCCAGGAGCAGTTAACTGATGAGAATCTTTTGGTCTATTAGCGGCATTGCCACCGACGTGGCGCGCAAGCGGAATTGATATCTCGTTGCGCTGCATTGCATTCTTCCGATTTCGCTTCTTCTTATTTTTGTAGATGTTATCATCTCGGTTAGAGTTGTTAGTCGAACTGAAATCATCCGACGAATTCTCATATCGAATATTGCGTGTAGAAGCTCAACGTTTAGAATATTCATTAATATAATCTGAATATATTCTCGTAAAATTAAAATTGAGTAATATTTTTTTTCTAATTTTTCCAATCCTTGAGAAAGACGGAAAAAAAAGTTTTTGAATATTTGTGGTTCTATTCTTTTCAATGTTACATTAATTTATAATTTACAAACTCATAAAATTGAATCTTGTGATGTAAAGTAAAATTGCTGCAGTAAATTCAAACGTGTTATTGTTTGAGGTTTTCTTTTTTCGTTTTTTTTACGCAAATTTTTATTTGTGGCTAAAATTATGGAACTCCAGCCCTACAACAATTCGAAAGAATCGTAAACTAAGGATATAAACGCGCCGCGAAACACTTCCAGGAATCATTGTGCGAAACATGTGTTTAAGATTAGAACGTTCACGACATACTCCTCCACCGAATTCATTTTACGAAATGAAGTTCTACTACAAAAGACTTAGCGAAAGCTACGACGTTCGCATAATTAATGTTTTCGCAGTGCGTCAAGAATGTTGCGCGAGCATTATTCAAATTTTCAAACGGATCTATTTAATAATGAGCCCGGAAGAATTTAAAAATCCGTAATTACCGCTTTGACGTCGAAGCAAATCATCATTTCTCTTCCTCGAACCTGCGTCTTTAACTGAAAGGGCGAGTCCGAGATGCCCTGGATATTAATGAAGATAAAGACGACCTCGTCGTATGCGCTGACCCCAGAAAAAGCGCTAAGGAGACGGAACAGACAGGGCGCGAGACAGCGCGCGGGAAGAAAGAAAAGAAGAAGATGAGCATGCGAGGGCGCGCAGCCAGTAACTCGCATTCCGCGGGCGCGTGCCGCGGTGTCAGTTCGGAGAGCGAATGATACGTAATTTATAACGGCACGGGACTAAAGTACTCTGCGCCGAGGAGCGGCTCGCGCGCGTACGAGCGAGCGAGATCGTCGTCGAGAGTCGCGCCGCAAGGATTCCGTATGGATGCGCGGTTGTGGTCGCGCGAGGAGACGAAGTGTCTAAATATCGAGCACATGTCGAGAGAGCCGTCGGCTTTCTAAACACCACCGAAAATAGAAGCCTCCGTGGTCCGCCATACGTCATCTCACTGGATACCGCAGCGAGCGGCGGAGATCCGCGCTAGTCCGTTGACATTCGGTATCATGTTTGGTGTTAGGTGGTGTTCCTAAGCGTTCTACTTCATCTTCCTCGTCTCGTCTCTTTCGTGTTTTCCCGCGCGAACCAATTCGTTCCCGCGTCGCGGGACGAAGAAGCGAGAAAAAAAGCAGCACCGCTGTGTCGCCTTAATTGACTAGGTGGCTTTTGAGCGTGTGATGACTCGAACGAGGCTCGAGTCGTTCGTAGGAACGAGCCGCGTGTGGAACACGTGATAATAAATGTGGCGCTTGTGCCTCGCGATGTTTGGTCTTGATTCGGATTCTTGTAGCACGCGATTGTCTACGGACGGGAAAAATTCATCATCTGCCTGATGATATTTAAACATGGCGATCTTTAGATGGAATTGTACAAATCAAATACTAAATGGTGAATGATATTCTTAGAGCTCTATTTACGAGTTATAGCTAACATTAATGAAAAATTAAAAGTTTCTCGTTTAAAGAATTCTTTTAGTTTGACAAAAATATGTTGAGATGCGTAGTAAAGTAATAAATTAGATTTTTTTTTTCAATTTCTTAAGCTTATTACATATTGCATATATCATAAAAAATTTCAATTATTTTTTTTTGTCATTATGTTATTATTTATAATGTTACATATACAAATACTTTTTTTTATAAGAAACGTGCTACGTTTGTACGAGAAAGGGTGGCAGACTGTAAGCGAAGAGAGGGAAAGCAGGGAGCAAAAATAAGAGACAGACGCAAAAGTTAGGTATCTCTTAATAGACCGGCTGTCTTCTTAATTGACTAGGTGGCTCGTAAGTGCGTGATGAGTCGCGCCCTCCGGCTCGGTGAAATAATACGGTCGGATTGAACAGAACGAATGTTGAAACACCGGTGTCTCGTTCGACCTTTTTCTTTTTTCTTCTGACAGTCGGATGTTGAAGATTAATCACGAAGTAAGAAAAAGTAGTTTCCCTCCAAATTATAAATTTTTTACATTGATTTACTTGAACGATATTCCGGAATAAATTATCAGTAATTTTATGGATTTTGCACACGGATTTCGGAATACATATATTTTGCTCTAAAAAATTCGGAAGATTAAAAATGCCGTTAGCATTAATTTCTTTTTAGAATAAATAATATTTATAATTACTTTTAAGTGAGGATTGCAATTTTAAACCGCTTTAATTTAACATAAGATTGCAAGTAATTTATTTTTTGAATTTGAATCTTAAACCCGTGAAATTGATTAACTATTCAGCCAAAATTCATGTTTGTGAAAGCTGGAGAAGTCATGTTTGTTACTGCCTCGTAAGCCTCTTGACTTCAGGGCGGTCCGTGTCGTTTTGCTGGAAAATCTTTCGCGCGACTTTTACTGCCGCACAACAGTAGAGGCCAAATTGTTCGATTGTCCGTTTCGAGTGGCTGCGCCATTGTCGGGCGGTCGCAGCTGTCCCGTGCCTCTTAAATCGCAATTATGCGAATGCCTAGCGAAAAGGGAGCCACTTTTCTGGCGTTTCGCTCAAAAACTGATTCTTCAAGCGATCCACAATGGACGCGAAACGAATCGCTTAGGTTACTTTTATTCGCCTTTCTCTCTCTCTCTTACTTCTTCCCTGCGTCATCTCGTCTCTCCTCTCCTCGAGATTGCCGTATTGTTGAGGGGCGTGAGGCCCTTCGGAAGACGATTTTCCTCCGTAAAGCCATTCAGATGCCGAAGAATGCCGAGAAATACGCGCCTGGCTTGTATACCCACGCGCGCGTGGGAGATATGTGCGTAGAGACCGAAGTAAAAGGTCGCTTACACGTTTTAATATTCATACTGATTCAGTAGCACCGAGATTTTGGAAGTAAACACTCTTGCAGCTATGAGAGATAAGTTTTAACTCTTTTTTATTTATCTATACATAAACTATAAGATTATTGTACTTTAATATCCGAATATATTCAGAATAGTTTTTTTTAATGTTGACACTTTTTAGTAAATCAATTAGAATTTATTGTACATTTTATTTTAGGCATAGCGCACAATTTTCAAATATTTGCATTTATAAAAAGAAAGACATGAATAATTTATTTTTAAATAATCTGAGGTCATTTTGGTTACATTTTTGTCGAATGTTACGTAATTTTTAACTCGCACAATTCTTGACTCATTAAAATCTGCGGTTTCATAAGTACGGATGTCTTTGTGCACGAGCAAATCGAGAGAATAGATCCATGGCTGCACCATCGCTGAGAAATCGCATTGCCTGGAGACCCATTTATAAAAGATCTGACGTGTCATTGTGCTCTATATACAACCGTGGAGCATTCGAAGTTGTTTAAATCGTTGTAAGGCACCCGAGGACGCGACCGAGGTGTCGCTTTTCGCTCTCGAGTGGATTCGATTGTCGACTCCCTTGAAAGGAATGAAATTGAGTCCGACAACCCAAACCCACAGCCCGGGCAGGTGTCGATGCTCTTCCACTTTTCTGAGAAGGTATCATAAAATCATGAAGACTGAAATGGATCTCTCCGGGGCGACGTTAAACGACGCTTCCCGTGTCGCTCGCGCTGTCCGGCGAAAAATCATATCGCGCATCATCAAATTGATAAGAACGACTAACTATGACTAACGACGTTCGTAATAAATCTCGCTTCATGCTACACTTTTTATGATCGCAAGATAGATCGCGAGGTGTGGGTATCGAGATCTTGAAAAGCCGCCGTCTATGCTCGGCCGATCACGGAGCCGCTCACGTTCCCCGCGCCGGCCAGGGATCAGATTTCGATCATGTATAAACTAATTTATCCCCATAAAAGTGGCCTTAATGAGTCAAATTAAGCCGACGTAAAATATATGTGGATGCTTACGCGAGCGAGCCGATACTCTCAGACCGGTATCGCGCACACTGAGGAGTGATATACAGTTCGGTAATGGTGCGGGGAGGACCCGACACCTGGTCCCGTGTGGCCCTTTTGTCAGTGGGTCTCAAAGACCGTGCCCCGCGCTACGAGAAGGCCACATAAACTCCCGGGGCATTCAGTTAAATGGTTCTAAAGTGCTTTCAAAATACGACGCTGCGCCGAAAACGCTCGGCGGAACGGAGCGGGACACGAAACTCGGAGGGGGATACGATATGGGTGGTTTCGGGAATAAAAATGCAGATTAGAATTAATACGCCGCACCGGCGATTCCGTGCTTCCGTTGATTTAATGCCGTATATCTTAGCCTTTTATTGCCGGTGGCCCGCGTCGATATCTATCGCCGACACTAATTTCATGATTTAACGTGACAAAACCTATATACATATATGCTTGTATTTTAACTGTTTTATTGAGTTGATACGAAATCCAGTTATTATTGTACAATTTTAAATCAGATTCTAATTTATGCGCTACTTTCTCAAAAGAACATATAGAGTTAAAACGTTCAAAACTTATCTACTTATAAAAAATAGAAAATACCAATTTTTATGCTAATAATGCAGTTTTTGATGAATATAAATTTGTGAGAAACAACTCGATTTCACAATCAAGCTATTTTTAAATAGAAAATTTCGAGAAAGCAAATATTTATCGCAACATTTTTTCAATTTTCAATCTTTAGATATCTCAATGTCGAATGAAATTTTTGTCGTGAAGTACATATTGCAGTGAAATCCGACAATCTCCAATTTATATCAGTAAACTGAAATAACTAATTTTATTACTGATTGTTATTCGATATTATTATCTTTAGTTATTAGTTGAAAGAAGATTTATATTTGCAAATGAGATAGAGAGACAGATTCTTCGCGAGAAATATTTTCGATCGCCGCGGCAACGACGACAGTCCGAACGACGCGTGCGT